ATGCTGTAATTCTGACTGTTTTATGTGCTGCAGAACAGGAACCTGCTGTAAAACAGCAATTATGCTGAGTCAGGCTTGATTTTTTAATAATCTTTTCCTGTTAAATGAATAAATCAAATCAATCAATAAAGTTTTATCTTATCTCATGTTATCTTGAAATCAGCTTAGCTAAATTTTAAAATTAGCAAAAAATAAATAAATAATAGCACCTATATTTCAAATTTAAAACTATAGCTAAAAGCTGATTATCAAATCAGTAGCTAAAGGCTTAATACCATAGCCATAACTAAATGCTAAAACCAGGAAAACAATAACTTAATTAGCAATTCTGTAGTAAAAAGCTAAAATTACCAAAACAATAACTAAAGGCTAAAACCAGAATACTTAAAAACTAAATTTAGCAAAGCCATAACTAAAATTAGGAAAACAGTAGCTAACAGTTAAAGCCCATAAAACTGTGGTCGAAAGCTAATTTTAGCGACTGAGTAGCTAAAACCTAAAAATTATGCAAAAGTACCTTAAGTTAAGATGAGAAAAACAGTAGCTAAAAGTCAAAATCAGCTAAACACTAGTGAAAATGTAATATTACCTAAATTAAGAGTAAATTGTAAAATTATCACAATAGTAGCTTAGACCAAAATTAAGAAAATAAGTACTTTAAAAGTATAATCAGTCAAAATAAAATACCTTTATTCAGCTCAATAAAACTGAAAACAGTTACATTTAAATCTTTTAAAAAGCTAACAAAAATAACAACACCCAGCTCCTATACAAGCTGAAAATTTCAACACATGAACAGCTAAAATAGAAATGATTAATTTGTTCTCAGATCGTTTCTTTGATTTTTGATATTTTGCGCAAACTTTTACTTTTGTTATTAGCTTCAGCGGAGACTTTTATTTTTACAGGGAGTGACTTACATGTGGAGACTTCAGGCTATAACAGATCAGTGTAAACCTCACAACCTTTTTATCTGTGTGCTTTCTCATATTTCATGTTACAAGAGATCACCAGAAGCTGTGTGAAAGTGGAGGGCTTCCTGATGGAGCAGGAGAAGCAGAAGGTTCGTTATGAAGCTTTAACCCTGCGGCAGCTGCAGGTGGCCGACAGCCGAATTATCCTACTTAAGACCTGATTGACTATTGTTTAAGACATTAAGCAGAAAGGCAAGCAGAAGAGCCTGTATTTACTGTGACAGGAGGGTGAAAGGACTTCCAGAGGGGGGAATGAGACAATCAGATGCTAAATTTAACTATACAGGAGGCTCAGGATGAACTTACCGTTTTAGGTCCTTCTGAGGCCTGAAAACAAAACAAACAACACATGAAAAGTAGCCAAAACCATATAAGTCTGAAGACCAAAACCATCTAGTTAAAGACTAAATGAGGAATAACGTTCAAATTTCATCACTGTGAGAAAAATTTAAGGCTAAACATACACAATCTCTGCTCAGAGTTTGGAACAAACGTAAAAAAAGAAAATATGTCCATCCTAAAACAAATAAGATCAAATAATCACAATAAAGCAACCTCTGATCGAGGAAATGGCTGATATCAACAAATTTTACAGAGAGGGCTGGACTGAAGGACAGTACAGAGGCACTGATCGTGACAGCACAAGAACAGGTCCTCAGTACATGAGCAACAAACCATGCAAAGATGCCCTGAGACAGTCCAAGGCTACGTTCACATTGCAGGTCTTAATGCTCAGTTCCGATTTTTTGAAAAAATCCGATCTTTTTGTGTGAACGTTCACATTACATTTTAAATGTGACCTGTATCAGACCCGTGTGTGAACGCTCCACAGCACTGATGTGACGCA